GAAAGAAAGAAAGAAAGAAAGAAAGAAAGAAAGAAAGAAAGAAAGAAAGAAAGAAAGAAAGATCTTGCAAATTAAAATATACTAGCCAAAATTAAAAGGAAGGAGGAGTATATTGTCAGGAGACAAATATTCTGATAGTATTTAAAGGACCCCAAAACCCCCCACCAAACCACTCCACACATACACACACAAAAAACAGAGATAAGGAAGCTAAGAGAAAAATACAAAGATTTCCCAGAGCAGGAAGATACTTACCTACAGGTTGAAGGGGCTCATCAAATGCCCACCACGATGCATGAAGAAAGATACATACCATGACATGTCATCCTGGCATTTTGGAACACAAAAGACTCCAAAAGCTTTCGGAGAGGAAAAGCAGGTCATGTACAAAGAACCACGACTCAGAATAATGAATATTTTGGAGAAGAGGGCTTTATATATATAAAAACAAGCATGCTTTTTACTTGAAGGGAATTAGTGAGTGGGAATGGGATGACTCAGAGATTTTAATTCTAGAGATTTTTTTAAATCCTCGAGATGAAAACTATGGTAGTTGGGGGCTGGCAGGTGGCATGGTGGTTAAAGGTTCTGAATCCCCAAATACCCACATAGCTGACAACGATTCCAGTCCTGGACCTGGCGGCTTGCTTTTTCACTCACGCACTCTCCCTCCCTCCCTTTCTCTCTGCTCAAATTGAAATAAACTAATAAATAAGGTAATTCTTAAAGTTGGATAATGCAGAAGAAAATATTGCTGACATTGAAGACATAGTGATAGAAAATCAAACAGCAACTGTGCAAAATTGGAAACAAAAAATACACCCACCAAACCAATTATTCCAGTGATCAATTTATTGCCTCAATTCCTTTTTGACCTGCCTTGAGATGAAGGAGCTAGACCTTATATTTCTTCTTTGCTAGCCACCAAGATATTAAGCCTTGTCTGTAGTTTGCTGGAAAGACTTCAGAGGGAAAGGAACTTTCCTTCTTAATTCTGGTGGGACTTGTTCTCTAAGCCTGGAGAGCACTCTTTTTCTCTCCTTTACTTCAACCTCTGAGGTTTCTCTAGTGCTGAGTATCTGCAGGGCATGACTTGCTCCAGTATTTTTCTACTGCAAGTCTCTTTTTTGTTCTGCTGAGCTCCCAACTCTTTCAGAACAGTGCAAACCAGAAGGCAGTAGAGCAACATCTTAGAAGTACTGAAAGAAAAAGTTATCAATCTGGAATTCTATACCCAGCAATAGTATCTTTCAAAAAATAGTGATAAATGCTGTTAAAAACCATATTCAAATGTTTCCAATTTCCAAATAATTTTTGGGGGGAGAGAGGTTTTTGCTATATTGCGCGTGTGTTTGCCAGAAAGACAGAGGGACAGAAGGCAAGAAATCACCTCCCAGAGGGGATGGCCACGCTACAACCCCTTCTCCGTTCTCCTCTCGGAGTCCTGGACACACACACACACACACACACGGTGTGAGTTTAAGCCACCGGGTCCGGGACTCGAACCATGGTCAACTACATGGGAGTTCAGCAACATAGCCATTATGCTAACTGCTGGTCCCCCAAATAATATTTTTTTATAGCTACTTTCCCCCTCCAGTCTAAGAGCCAAAGATCTTGCATTAAATTGTTACCTCACTTTACTCTTTCATTTGAAACAGTGTCCTTTGGTGTTTTTCCTGACATTGACATTTTTAAAATGATCTGCCTAGGTCTTTTGCAGGATGTCTCTCAGTTTGGATTTTGTCAAATATCCCTTCATGATTATAAATTCAGGTAAATGTTACTAGCAAGAATACCTCATCAGCGATGCGTCCTTAGTGCATCTCCTTAGGGCACGTGATGTCCATTGGCCATCCCGTCTTTGTGATGGTAAGTTGGATCACCATGGTTAAGGCAGCGTTTGCTAGATGCCGGTCGTGAGGCGCCTCTTTTCTCTTTGTGAATATGGATGTCATCTTTTTGAGACTATTTGGGTATCCTGATCCCCAGCAAATTTTCATCAATGATTTTAGCATCCATGATGATTCTTGCTGAATACTTATCTTTTTAAAAGCTTCTTCCCAGGGGCTGTGTATGCTTGCCAGAGAGAGATGAGGACAGGGAAAGCAGCAACTCTTAATGGGGCATGGCTATGCCCCAATCCCCTCTCCCCAACTTCTCATTCCAGGGTTTTGGACATGCCCAAACATGCGCCTGGTTTGTTTTTCAAGCTACTGGGCCAGGACTTGAACTGCACAGTCAGTCATGGGGGATCCATCTCCTCTAACCATCAAGTATTAGGGACAGCCCTGAATACTTTTTAAAAAAGATTTTTGCCATAAGGGTATATGAGCTTGCCAGAAAGAGAGAAATAGAGACAGAGAGGAAGTGAAAAGTCACCCTGCAAGGAGGATGGCCACAGCATAGTCCCTCCTCCATTCTCTTCTCGGGGTTTCGGGCCTACATACACATGTCTGGTGTGATTTACAAGCTGCTGGGTCCAGGACTCGAACCGTGGATGACTATGTGGAAATCCTCAACCACTATGCCACCTGCTGGCCCCTGAATGCTCATTTTTAAAGAAATGTTTCAAACAGTGATCTCTCTTAGAATTTGAAGTGATCATTATATTGCCTCCATAAGCATTTTCCTTGATTATTTATTTGATGAGAGTTATGATGTATGTTTGGATTTTTTTTTTCAACCTAAGACAACGGAGGGAATTTGTGCCACATAGAAGCTCAGCTTGGTTGTTTTTGTAGGCAAGCTGAAGCCATAGTCATGGTTTTGGAAGCCTAATGCAGAATAACGTCAAGGCATCCACGTCAAATGTGCTGTTGATAACCAGCGTGGTGGACTCCAGATCCACACACAGACATTGATGTCTGAGACACGAGTTTTCATAGCAGTGGCAAAGCACTGGGAGGCTTTTGTCTCTGCAGAATCTGGGCTTAAAATCTTTATTTATTGGGACCAACAGATGGCATTGAGTTACTTCACTGGACTCGCACGTAGCCACCTGAGGTTCGAGTCCTGGACCCAGTAGTTTAAACTCATGCTGGGCGTGTGTGCGTGTGTGCCCAAAATTCTGAGAAGAGAATGGAGGAGAAGGGAGAGAGACGTGGTCATCTGCCCTTGCAGTTCATTTCTTGCTTTCTGTCTTTCTGGCAAGCACATGTGCCCTATAGCAAAAAATAAAATAAGGTCTTCATTTATCTTAATAAATTCCCTAGTATTTTTCCGAATATCCCTAAGGATCACAACCCTAAAACATTTTCTTCTTAAGAAAACCAGGAAAGGACCCCTCTGTCACCTTTGCCAAACTGATGCTCTTACAGGCATCTCATTTCAGAGTGAGGGATGATTTTGACCAAGAGAGTGGAAAGGGGCATGCGTCATTTTTGGTAAGTTGAGGCCATGGGAAGCCCTCAGGGTGTACGTCAGCCAGAGCTCGCGTCCTGCACAGCCGAGCTTTCAGGCCTGTTCCCGAGTCCCTCGGTGCAGCCCTTCCCTTCTCTGGGTAGCACAGCACCCATCTACCCCTGCCTGGGCTGGTGCTGGGTTGCGAGGAGCTCGTGCCCCCTTTGGTGAGGCCTTTGCTTCCTCCGTGCAGGACACCAGCTCTTGTGCTGGCCCATTGTGCCCAGATCCCAGGATTCCCAGACACAGGAAATGCCCTGGAAACCAGTCCTTCCATTTCGAAACTTCTGGCAGAGTCTCTGCCCATCCTGCCTGGTCCTTCGGGAACTCGTCCGGCTCACATTTCCACAGTGAGCGTGGGGGCGTTTGCTGTGATGGCCTCCGAGATCATCCGGGCCCCAGACTCTGCAACGTTGTTTCCCTGGAGACTGGAAGAGAAGTGTGGCCGGGACCCTCACCAAGCTGCCGAGGGACCTGGGCCACGGTGGGAGGCAGGGCCTGTCTGGGAGCTGTTCTAAGGGTGAACAGGAAGGGCTGAGGCCGCCGACCCCCACTCACTTGATGTGCTGGAGCCTGTGGTTTCCAGACAGTGCGGTAGCGATGCACAGCGCCCCGTCCAAACCCAGGGAATTCTCTTGAAGACTAGAGAGAAAAGGTGGAGACACCATGGTGAGCTGTCGGGCAAGAAAACACCAAGGGAGTCGCCCTGCCTCAGCTTGTGGGGGCAGTAGAGGGGTTAGAGTTCTGGGGCGATTTGTCATCCGCAGGTGGCACTCTGCTCCAGACTTATCTGAGCAGCCGGCGGAGTAGCCTGGCGCCCCGCACAGTGGGGGATGTAAGATGCAAGTGAAGCCTTAAGTGAGCGACTTGTGACAGGCCACGCGGAGTGAGCAAACCCCAGCAGTGGGATGTGGGCGTGGTAAAGCCACCGGGGCCATTTCCCAGGAGTGGGAGCAGGCGCGTCCTACCCCTTGGGAAGACCCAGTAGAGGTCTCTGCTCCGGGGCGCCACGGTCTCTGCAACCACTTACTTGAGTCTTCGAAGGCTCGAGTTTACCTTCAGGGCATTCGCCAGGGCCTTGGCTCCAGCCACCCCAATGGCGTTTCCTCGCAAGCTGTTGAGGAAAAAGAAACCTCAGGACTGGGACAGACTGAGGGGTGACCGTGACACCGCTTCAAATGGATGGGAGGAGTTTGGTAAAGGGGTGAGCAAAGGAGGTCAGGGTTGCTCCTTCCTCACTCCGGCTACAGGACAGAGTGGGGCTCCAGGCAGGGGAGAGGCTGCCCACTTGTGGGTGGTGTCTTCGCCCTTCCCCTGCATCCCGAAGACCTGGGCTGGGACTGGGGAGGAAACCATCTAGCCCCACACAGGGCCCTGGACATGACCAGCCTGCACCACAGGCCCAGAGAGCAGGCCATGGGGAAAGGGGGCAGGTGGCTGGGGTGCTGACCCTCCCTCCCATTTCACTTTGAGCCAAGAGCTTGGTTTCTTTGGGCAAAAGCCTGTAATGACAGGAATACTTACTCGAGAATCTCCAAGGTTCTGTTCACAGCCAAGGCCTCTCCCAGCGCCTGGGCCCCCGCAGCACCAATGGAAGCCACCTGGAGGCTGAGGGGAGGGCACGCACTGTGGGGCTGACCCTCTCCCCCACACACTGCCTTCATTGCTGCCACCCCTTGACCGAGGGCCAGAAGTCCAGAGAGCCCCGGAAACATTGCCACGCCTGAGTCGGGTCTGGATGCCACGGAGCGGGAAGCAGAGGGAGTCTCCTGGATGGCCGTCCTCACCCCTAGATGTTTGATTTTCTTTCTTTTTCAAAAGTTTGCTATAGGGACCAGCAGTTAGCATAATGGCTATGTCGCTGGACTCCCATGTAGTCGACCGTGGTTCGAGTCCCGGACCTGGTGGCTTAAACTCACGCCGGGTGTGTGTGTGTGTGCGTGCCCAAGATCCCGAGAGGAGAATGGAGGAGAAGGGACTACGGCGTGGCCATCCCCTCTGGGGTGTGATTTCTCGCTTTCTGTCTCTCTGTCTCTCTCTGGCAGGCGCACACGCCCTATAGCGAAAACCTCTCAAAAAAAAAAAGTTTGCTATAAAGCATGTATGCTTGCTGGAGAGAGGGCAAAGGTGAGTAAGCACCCCCCAGCAGGGCATGGCTTCTCCCGGGATTCTGGGCACACACACACATAGGCCTGGTGTGTCTTTCAAGCCACCAGGTCTGGAACTTGAACCATGTAGTCAGCCACGTGAAATCCAGCCACCATCTGGCCTGCTTTTGCTTTTTTTTTTTTTTTTTTTTTTGTAGGGGTTTTTCACTTTAGGGC